GTTTTCTGCCTGAGCTTATGCTGCTTTGCTGCAGGGATGAGGGTCTCCTGTATTTCTCTTGCCGCATCTGCAGTGCTGTGCAGAGCATCTGAATATGCCCTAGGTGTCTTGGTGACCAAATGGGGCCCCAGCAATCCAACAGCTGATGGATATAAATCTCTGTATTACTTTATGCAGCACTGTACAGATTTCTTGCATTCCTTTGCAATTATTTAGCTGAATCAGACAAAGTGTATTTTGTTGTGGTTTTGAAGACCCTGCAACATTTGTAGCTCTGCTTACCTATATCCACATGACCAGTAAACGAGCCAACTCAAAGAAATAAAGACAAGGACATTTTGAACTTTTTATTTTCAGAATTAGAGCATATGCTTGTCTCCCATAAGGAGACACTGCCTCTAGGAAAGAGGCATCAGTCACTGAGCTGGAATGTCTCTTGAGGCAAATTCTTTATACACAGGCTTCATGTATCTAACTTAGCTCCTGTGCTTTTAAAGTGGAGTTGACGGTTGCTTACTTTCTAATATGCTGGAAGGATTAATTACACTATATGAGGGATTTAAAAATTTTACCTTAAGTTATAGATATTACTATTACTAGATTAAGCTATAATTCCTGGTACTTAATTTCCTTTTCAATTAATGTTTAAATAGAAGTAGCCCTGTTCTAAGAATTTAGCTAAGAAACATAATTGCTTTGCTGAAAAAATATTAAGTGAGAAGAGCATCTGGAGAAAAAACCCCACGTTCAGAGGAACATGCTTTGCATTTTGTTAGTCACAGCCCAAACTTGTCTTGCTTTCAAAAAGGCAGATAATATATTTAGTGCACTTGCCAGTTAAAAATTGCAATTTTATGATAATTCTTATCATCTCGACTAGTTTGGTCATGCTCTTCTGAGTATCTTCAATTAATAACACTGTCCTCTGCAGATTCTGAGACGGGGAATTAATTACACTCAGTTTGGAGGATGTCTTCTTTGTTATTGGCAGTCAGGTGGGAGGGAATGTGTGATTAAGTGAAAATCAGTCTGACTATTAGTTGGTGCAACACAGAAAGAATACACATTTTGATGAAACAGTGTTTTCTAATATGCAGAAAATATTATCTATTTCACAGCTCAGGTCTGTAGTGGATATTTCATTAAATTCAACCAGTCCAGAGCTTTTAGTCTGTGCTTTCCATGGTGAAATATACTAAATGACAATACCAGAATAGATTGGCACTATAGGGATCGCAATTTTGCTTATCCTTTTGAATAAAATCCCTCAAAATATTCTTTTCTTGTTGGAAATGTCCTTTCTAGAAAAAGAAAAAGGAAAAAAAAAAAAAAAAAGAAAAGAAAGAAAAAATAGTCTGAAAAACTAATTCTAAATATACTAATTCTAAATATATATAGCATCTGGTGGGCTTTATGAATGTGCCATGCGAAGCTTTTGGTATTATAATGGAATAATAAATTGGTTAGTCGACTGAGTCTTCTTGGATGAGTGAGCCAAATCAGCGTGACCTGGCATAACATGACTGTCACATCCCAGTCATACACAACCCAGTCCCAGCTGAGGGGATGGGACTTATAGAGATGTGGAAATGTGATGCAAGGCTTTCTCACTCAGTAGCAGCCAAATGCTGCCCTTGTGCTGCCTTAGCCTTAGTTTCAAAGTGGTTGATAAGACCCTGCAGTCATATTACACCATCATGTCTAACACGTCATAAAAGGTCAGAGGGTCCCAAACTATATGAGTTGCAACCTAAAAAGTTTTGCAGATCCAAGATGGAGGGCTGGAAAAAAACACAGTTTTTTGAAAATGTTCATTGCTCTCAGTCACCTCAAGGATCTTACATTGTATTGCAGTCGAAACAAAAACTACTGCTAACACATGTATTACCTGTTGCCATAGGAGGCTATTACAATAAAAGTGTTGCTGAAACTGAAATAAGAGAAACTTTCTGTGGGATGACCTAGAAAATCTCTTTAGAAATAATTACTGTAACAGGGTTAGCACTGTAAAAAAATGTATCAACTGTTCTGATTTTCAAAGGTCATGTTGCTCTGAAGTAAATTTCACTGCAGGTCAGACGTTCACATCCTTGGGGTGTTTAGAAAACTAATGTCTGAGCAAGCAAGCATGCACTTGCTGCACACAAAGGCAAGATCAAAGCCACATGAAACAACCCACACATTTTTTAACGCAGACGACAAAGTATTAGTTCAACCTTGCTGAAACTGGAGATTAACCCCACAGCACTTCAGACCAGGAGCAGGAGTGTGAAACGCCAGTCATTCTGCTCTGTTTTTGTTTGTGGCACAGATATATGTGATGCTAGGCATCCCTTTTCAAATGAGTGAAGATAAAGATTCTCTGTATGAAAATACCCGGTGTGGATCTGCATCTCAGTTAGAGGATGAAAACTTCAACTTTCTTCCATTAGCAAAATCCTTGGTCACGTTTCACTTGAAAAGGATGAAGGAAATGTTACAGCAGGATAAACATACATCATGAACAGAAACAGAGAGAGACTTTTCACAAGGGTATGCAGTAATAGGGTGAGCAATAACCATTTTAAACTGGTAGAGAGGAGATTTAGATTAGATGTTAGGAGGAAATTCTTCACTCAGAGGGCAGTGAGGTGCTGGCACAGCTGTCCAGAGAAGCTGTGCCCCACCCCTGGAGGCGTTCAAGGCCAGGTTGGATGGGGCACTGGGCAGCCTGAGCTGGTGGGGGGCAGCCCTGCCCGTGGCATGGAGCAGGTAAAAGGTTGGAACTCAAAAATCTTTGAGGTCACTTCCAACCCAAACTATTCTGTGATTCCATAACCAGAAAAGGTGTTGCAAAATGGCTAACTGGATAATTATTCTTTGTGCATGTTTGCCAGAGAAAAAGATAAAACCGCGCTCTTCCTCTTGAACTGATGATGAGAAACAGTTTCAAAGCCACAGTCCATTTGACTTGAAAATTGCATGTGAGAGCAGAATGAAAAGGACCATTCAGCTGTTGAGGGTATTTTCCCCTTTTTATCTGCTTGAATTACGTAAAGAAGATTCTATCTTATCCAGTCCACGGTAGCATGTAGGATAGTACAGTATTGCTTTCACCATGAAAGATTCAGGAAATCTTTTCAATTAAAAAGTTTTTTCTAGTAGAGTTGAACAGGAGATTGTGCAAGAAAGCCATGTTCCAGCATTTCTCCATTTAGACTTGCCTGTCTGTAGGAAAAAGCAGCTGATATTTTGCCACTTGCTTCTGTCAGAAATAGCTATTTAAAGTGCTTGCAAATTCAGAGACTTAAAATTTAATCTTGAATTTTATTAAAGAATAATTTCCACCATTTCTGAGGTTTCAAATAGGCTTTCTGCACAGTTCACATTCAGCTTAATTCTCAAAAAAGATTTTTTTTTTTTTCCTGGAGCAGATAAGTTGTGGCTTATAGCTCTGTCACTTTCTTGTTTATGTTCTGGAAGGGAATAGAAGATCACTGCTGATTTATTTGTGGATGTCACAAGCTGTTGCTGAAAAAGTAAATGATGTCTGGGACAGGGTGTCTGCACAGTCTCATATGGATAAGCAGGACATATCCATGTTTTAATATGAAGTAGAATCAGATTATGTTCCTGACAAGAATCACCAAATATATTACAAAGGAAAATCCTAGATCTTGTACCTCTGATACCTATAATTTAGGTATTAATCCTTCTTTTTATAAGAAATGTTTTAGACGAAACACAGGTTGTTTAATAACCTGGAACAATCATTTAGCTTTACGTAATGAGTTTACAGTTTCAGCCTTGAGTTCTAAATCCAAGGCAAAGAATACCATTTTGTTGGCTTGTAAGCTGTTTGCTCTGCTCATCTGTGGATGTGAGCTGTACAAAATCTTAGTCAACTTCTGTTCATCAGCTTCTCAGGAAGGTTATGATGGCACTGAACATCCTTACTTTTTTCCTTCAAATGATTGAATTCTGTCATGTCTACTTTCCTCTTGTGGTTAATTATTACATAATATGCTCTGTATTATCACTATAAATACTTGGTAACAAAGGTAGAGAGCATATTAAACACATTTAGTGTTCATTTTGTCATTAAATACCATGAACAACTGGGGATTTGTAAATATTAATGTCACTGCTTACATCAAAATGTGTTTAAATATTTCTCATTATTTACTCTATTTTTTATAAATAATGCTTACAGATTGCATAGGTGGTGCAAATACTTCCTCGTCAATTTCTTGAGATAAGTGTAATTTGCATGCTAAATATGGATCTTAAGATATAAAGCCACGAATTCTTGACTTTTTTTTCTTCAGTGACATGAAATTTGAGGGGAAAGAAATAAAAGGAAGTTGTGGAAGTGTCCAATTCGCTAACTTGGAAGTATATGTTCAGATAGTTTCTGAATGAATAATCAGCTTTTATATCCTTAGGAATCTCCTGTAAAATCCAAAGGATATTTTTTGTCATGACCATTCTAATGTCTGCTGTCAACAGGAGTGAGCGCTTTTCGTTTATTCTTCAAGACCTTGATAGTACTCAAAAAAACAAATCAAAACATGCTCAAACAACACTCTGAAGACTGATTTGAAGTATTAATCAGTCTGTTTAAACTTACACGAGATCAGATATTACTCAGGTCTGCATTTTAGCAGTACATTAATGTGTGTCGGCAGGTTATGATCTGATGAAAAGCAAATATGATACGATTTTAGCGGTAAAGATTGTGGTGGTCTTAAGCAAATATTTGAAGATAGCACCTTATATTAATTGGGAAATGAATTTGAGATCACTTTTGTTAAAAAATTGAAATGTTTCTATTAATTTTCCATTCCCTTCAGCTTTGAAAAGTAAGTGGTAAAAAGAACTCTGAAACTGGCAAACTCTTTGGAAACCATTCTGATCATTTTAATAGCCTTCAGTCTAGGACACATTGCACATACTTTGTGGGTCTTTGGTTTCATACCTACTACATCTGCTATAAGATAAACTATCTTGCTTTGTTTCAGAACTGAAACATGAGATCTATGTTTGGAGGTTGACTGCTCAGCGCATTAACCCTGCCAGCAGGGAAGAAACTGCCGTGAAATGCCTCTTGATGCAGAAGGTGCTGACTCTGGAGATACTCCTGAGGAAGAAGCTCAGGACATTCCACAAGTGAGTGTTGCTGGCATGTGCCACCTCCTTTCTTCCACCCTTGGCAGGATGAGCTGCAGGCGTAGGCACTTTGTTGGACTGACATGAAACTCCTGCTCATCTCAGTTTGCAGTTGTAACGATATTCTAGTTTTGCTACTATCTTCACTGACGTGAGACCTACATTCTCAGCTATTTGATCACAGAATCACAGAATGGCCAGGGTTGGAAGGGACCTCAAGGATCATGAATCTCCAAACCCCCTGCCACATGCAGGGCCACCAACCTCCACATTTAATACTAGACCAGGCTGCCCAGGGCCCCATCCAACCTGGCCTTGAACACCTCCAGGGACGGGGCATCCACAATCTCTCTGGGCAGCCTGTTCCAGCACCTCACCATTCTCTCTGTAAAGAACTTCCCCCTGACATCCAGCCTAAATCTCCCCTCCCTCAACTTCAAACCATTTCCCCTTGTCCTGCTGTTATCTACCCTTTCAAAGAGTTGAAAGAGTTGAGCAGATACGAAGAACCATGGAAGCTCAGCTTCAGTGATACACCAAGTACTTTAGGACAAAACTAATGTGTAAGGTCTGGAAAACATATTGTGAATAAACAAAAATTTGATGACCCAGAAATTCCAGGTAGCTTTTGTTTTAAAAGATCACAAATACACCATTAGGCTTTTTCCTGCAATAATAGCTTCAATGTAGTAAAATGCTGTAAATTTTTCCCTGATGAAAAATTCAAATGTTCTTCAGTGAATTTTCAAAACAGCGATTTACTACTTTTGAAAGTAATCAAATCTTCAGTGGGGATGTGAGCATATTCATAATTAACCAGGTATGTATAGAAAAGGAGAAGTTTTTATAAACTAAGACTAACAAAAAATTAACCTTATTTTTGTTTAGGTTCCAGCAAAACCAGCTGTTTATGTAGGAAATTTGATGTTTGAGAATAGTAATATAAATACAGTGACAGTGAATTTTCTTATTTTCACAAATAACCTTCTTAATTCAATAAATGATGCAAGCATAAATTGTTCCAGTAATAAGATAATTTTTCCTTTTATTTTCCTATAATATTTTCCTTTAATTTTTTCCTGATATTGTGCACTTTAAATAAAGTGACATAAAAAGTCTTTTTAAAAGATTGTGACATTATTAGAGTTCACAACACCTTAAAGAAAATAATTCTGAAGTATATAAAAAATCGTACGTTCAGTTTTGAAAATGAGGATTCCTTCAGCACAAGTACACTGACAGTGATGTAGAAATTCATTAACATTAGCAACAGAGCTCCTGAACTGCAAACCCCGAGGCTTTTTTTTGCTGCAGGGCTGACTATGCTGATAACAGAAAGAAGTAACTTATTCGGATCTTAAAACTTCATTATAAAATGCAAATGTAACACGTGTTCTGACTTGTTGGTGTTAGCACATGACCCTTGCTTTATCACAGAATGGCACACATTACCTCCTGAAACTACAAATGGAACATATAGCCAGCTCCTATATCCAGGTTCGTACTCCGGATGCTTGCACTTTCCAAGTCTGTGGCACTCTTCATGAACCAAACTGTGTACTGGTAGTATGTATTAGAAAAGTGGGGTCTTAAGTAAATTGTCATGGGAATTTTGCTACTGAACATAAGGCAACCATGGTTCCTCTGTAGTATGAGTTACTCCTTAAAGGGGAGAGAATGATCTGGATGTGATGAGAGAGATTTATTCCAGTACTGTTTGGCAGGGCTCTCATTTCATTCTGGAAAAAAAGCAGGTGTCATTTTCTTTCAGGCAAATTTCACAAGAAGATAAAAACTGGGAAACAAATATTCAGGAACTCCAGAAAAAAGTAAGTAGATGGCAGTTGTTCTTAATATAAGTGTAAGTAGACCTATGGCTTTTTATGAGGAAAATCCTTTGAATCCAATGAAAATTTAATAAGTGTCGTGGAGAAGAAAAGCTGGCAGGCAGACTGGCTGGCTTCTCATCAGGATGGATATACTGAACTACATTGTATGAGTTAGGTTTTATACGTGTTCTTTAGAAAAGAGTTGTTTAAAGGATCAATAAATGATTCAGCAATGTTCTCTTAAAATTTTAATCCGCCATGGCCAGAAAGTCTTAGAAGGTGTGAATAGGTTGTTTATAACCACAATGCATGATGACAGAGTAATACCAACTCTAATTTACTACACTATCTGTAACACATCTGCTATGTTATTTAAGTAGGGATAAACCACTTGCATAAATCCTGTTTTCTTTGCTGTGCACATATTAACACTGCCTAGATCTTTATGCTGAAGCTGAACCTGACAGGATGTATACCCTATAGTAGGATTAATTTCATCTCCATTAGCCTAATCATCACATCCTTTCCACATTGCTGGCACTAATGAGTACAGGCGTGTAATTGGGAGCTCAAATCCTTGGCTGGGAGCACTCTGTTCTATATGTCATACCAAAACAGAACAAAACCAACTGGATTTTCTGTTTGGTTTTAGGCCTTTTCCAAAGCATTGTATAAATGATGAACTTTTAAAAGAAGTGAGATTTGATTATACTTTGGTAGATTTCTAAACTGTGTGGAAGAGACTAGCAATGAGAGAGGTACTCAGTCCCTATGTTGCTGGTGAAGGTGATTTCAGAGCAGAGAAGCAACAGCACAGTGGAAAGAATTTAGGTATGAGAATGAGAGCATGAGGAGCTGGTCTGTGGTACAGGAGCTCTATAAAGATTAGGGGCATGGCATGTCTTTGAAAGTTGTACGTGATGTATGAAGAATCTGGTCATTAGGTTAGGTTATAGGTTTTCAGAGTATAATCACAATAAAGGATGATTTTGTTCAAATTTGAGAAACCACAGAGCACCTGAAGTTCCCTCTATAATAAAAATTGCCTTTCAACTATACTTGCACAACTGTGTTTTATCTCCTGTCTTCATGTTGGGTCTCTCTTACTACGTGATCATGTTTTCTATAGGGAAACATGAAATATTTCATTTTAAATATTTATGTATTTTATGCTGAAGAAGAATATACAATACAGGAACAGCTTTTTCTATTTCACATGTTTTTATTTTTTATTTTTTATTTTTTATTTTTTATTTTTTATTTTTTATTTTTTATTTTTAACTCTGTGCACAATAAATAGTTCCTTCTTTAACACAATTATCCAATTCTTTTTCCCCTCTGCAGCACAGAATAACAGACAAAATCCTTCTCGTCAAATGCCTTACTGTGCTGGGATGTGTTATTCTGATGTTTTTTCTCAACTCATTTGTTGCAGGTGTCTACTTAGATCTTGGTAAGTTTCACAGTTTTATTCTATTTTATTAAAATAATAATAATAATAATAAAACAGCTAACTGAACTGTAACATTTTTCTGAGTCTATTCAGAAAACCCATGTTTTTGTAAGTCCCTGACCTTACAATTTCACCGGGTTAATCAGAACAGCAGTTTCTCAGAACACGTTTTTGAAATGCAGTCACGACTCAGTCACCCCAGGAGGAATAGCAGGTAGAGCTCTTAACTTCATCTTTTTCTGACTTCCCAATATTAACTAGGTGGATAAACATAACAGAATGAGCAAATTTGACCTTACCATGATTTCAGTGTAGCCTTGAATAAATGACCAAGATTCATTACGGAGATCAGAAAGCAATTACTCTGTGTAAGAACATTTAAGTAGTCTAGCATAATTTCATGAGTAAAGATAGCTCTTCGTATAACTTCAAGTTACCATTATGTTATCATCAAAATAAATCATTTCCCAAAATAAAATCTAGAAGACACTGCATATGATTGAAACAAAAATAACTACATTCTGTGCCTAGACCTGTCTGTGCAGGTCTTTATACAGTTATTATGTGTCTAAATCCCTATAAGGACATTCTTGAAATGTCCCAAAAATAGAACAAAATTAAAACTCATGTTTAACTGAAGAGCAGTTATAAAACCTGCCTGTAACATGAAAAGTTAATGATATTTTTTTGGGCTGTGGAGTGTTTGGAAGTTATGGAATTTCAAATTTATGTTTTCTCTTCATCTGAATCCCTTCACTGTGTATGTCCAGTGGGAAAAAAAAAAAAAAAAAAAGCAATAGATTTAAGGATGAATAACTCATAAAGAATAAGTCACTGGCTGAATTATAATGTGCATTTTGGTTATGCACAGTATAGAGCTAGTTCTAACTGTAGAGTGGTGATCAGGTTGGAAACAACACCTTCCGCCCCTGTTGCTACTACTTCAGCTATATTAACTGGCTTAGTAAGCTACCAGTAGCCAAAGGTGGCTCTTCTGTTTGCTTGGACCCAGGGAAGCACCGGAGTTGGTGTTATTGGCATCAGTGGGGGGATGTGAGTTACTGTATCTGGAGCAATGTGTTTTTAAATAAGTACAGCTATGCTGCTAAACACATTTATTCCAAGGACTGAGCTACAGCCCTTGGACCTAGGCTGCAGGATGTCTGTGTCCATGCTGCTCAGACCTCACCTCTGCAGAGCAGTCTGGCGCTGCAACCGGCCCTGTGCTTCCTTGTGACATTGTAAATAGTTTTGTACGCATGGGATTATTAAGTTGCCAGTTCACTTCAAGGGCAGTTTTGTAGCCTAATAAAATTGTTCTAAGTCCATAATACTGAGGACATATGGTGTATTACCCTGTATTTGTTATGGGGTTTCAGTGCATAACCTTGTCTGAGTTAATGTTGCAGTAACTGCACAGAGCACAGACCTAAACGTGACTCACCCTTGTTTCTGTTTGAGTGTGATTCCTGCAACAAATTGCCTTCAGAAGTACTTATTTTTGTTTGAGGTGAAACAAGCTGGGTCAGTCCAAGACAGGGGTCTGAGTTATATGCAATACTTACACAAGGGGGATTGTGGGACACTGGGACTTCACTGTGGACTTGGACTATGAGGTTTCCTGACAGTGCTTCTGTGCAGCAGAAGTGTGGTGCCTGGAGCAATATGAGCTTAGGAGAGGGGACACTGTTTCAGCCAGCGGCACCAGTGACACTGCTATGGTGGCAGCTTTCCTCTTCCAGAGTATCTGCTGTGATAGAAATGGATAATTCAATAAAGAATATTGGTTGTTAAGAAGTTAAAAGGTATGCTGATGCATTATAGCCACAAAAGTGCAATGTTACTATAGCATAGGAAGAAACAGAAATTGAAGACACAGGCATTTGAAGTCACTGTGGCTAAGAGCGTTAACTGAAGAGTTCCCACCAGCAATTTAAGAAATCAATTTTCACTCTTACTTTTCTGCCTCGGAACTACATGATCCTTGAGGTCCCTTCCAACCCGGGTGATTCTGTGATTTTGTGTGTGATTCTGTGAACCATATAAGATTTTGTGAGTAAACCCAAAATCTAAGTGTTTTTGGAGTACTAGAAGAAATCTAGTAACAGAAGAGTGGTTTTTTGTTCTACTTCATGTCAGTAAAATAAGTGCAAGATAGTGACATGGTTGGCAGTGCAGGTTTTTGTAATTCACTATCCAATCTTCTGCTGCAATCTTGAAAGTAAACATGGGCTGTATGTGTTATTTAGTTTCTCTCTGTTCTGTATTCATAGTAAATCTGTCAGATTAGTAAATAAATGTTATTAAATCATATACATAATTCTATTAATACTTAATGGAACCTTCAGACTTCTACTGAGATCTCACTGATGACTCCTGAGTTCCATGGTCTTGATGCTTGCTGTCACTTACTTATCATTACTGAAGTAGTACTGCTGTGGGTTGCTATGGATTTTAGTCCTCCAGTGGATGGAAATAAATTTCCTAAAATACAGCACATCTTGTACTCTGGTGGTTTGGCTATATTTGTTCAGTAAGTTTTTGCATAAAAATGAAAGTAGATTGTAATTCAGTGTTTAATTTCCTACTAGAATAATGTTTTATACAGAGGCTTAAGTGTTAGAAATCTAATAACTTTTAATTGCATTTGGTAGAGTGAATTAGAAAGATTATAGAATTCTTTATCAGTCCCCAGCCTTGATACAATTTTTCCATAATGAACCTGGAATCATTGATATAATTTGAGGGAATTGACATTTTAATTTAACTAATAAATTTGCATACTTAACTGTCTTAAAATGCAGAACACTTTCCTATTCAGTTTTCTTGTACCTGTTCATCTGTAGACTAATTCTATGAAATGCCTATGTCAGTGAAAAGCTAATAATGAGACTTCAAACAGACAGAGATGGCAAACTTCAGACTTCTAGAGAGTGCTTTCATTCAGCCACTATAGGATATTACTTTATTGATAAAGCACTGGTAAAGCATCTGAGGAATCTTGCTTCCTTCTGCCTCTGGATCCTCTCCTCTCAGGGTCACGTCAGTCATTTCTGAGTCAGGGAAAAGTCCTCTCCTGCTTTTAGAGAGCTGCAACAGAAGATTTTGCTTTCTTCCTCAAGAAACAAGGTGTAAACTCAAGAGTAAACAAATCAGATACTGATGGTTTCAGGGTAGAGATACTGTTACTGACTCAGCTGCAGACTGTTGGAAGATGGGAAGTCACACCAGGAGAAACATAGCTATATATTTGCCTAATTTGTACAACTTGTATCTTACATTGTTGAGACATTTAAAATCTGTGACTGAAATAGTGGAAAAGGAGGGAAATCATTGTTTTCATTTAAGCTGACTGGTTTTTGTTTGGAAGGCCACGTTTTGCAGAGCCCTTTTTGATGTTATTATCAGCGCATTCAAGAAGAAATGTTTTCAATCTCTATAGATACAAAAGACTCCTGTTGTCTTGTCACTCCTTTGGATGCCAGTCATTGTATTTTCTGACTAATTTCTGTAATGTACTGAAAATTTGTTGAAATTTACAGGTGCTGAGTGAGTGAATGAAAGCCCTCCATTGCCCTAAAGAGCTTCTTAAACTTGCTTAAATTTGCTGTTGAATCACTGACTGTCAGAAGTTCTGCACCAATATGTACTTGGCTTACAACAACCAAATCAGGTTTTCCACTACTGCATCCTGCTGAGATTTTAACAGCTCCCTCCATTTTCTTTTCTGCAACATTTTGAATAAGTGGTGCAAGGACTTTGCTGTAGAAGTTATTCTTCCTTAACAGCTTTGAGATAGATTGCCTGTACATGTTAGAGTTAGTCATTCTCTAACCAATACCAGAAGCCTTAAGCTTAGAGATCTTTCTATGAGTTGCAAAACAAACAAACAAACGAAAAATCCACACCTAATATTGCACAAGTGAAAAAAATATAGTCTGCATATTTGTCTTCAGAGTGTGCAACACGTATGCCTAAGGAAAACTCTACAAACTTTGAACTGTTCTTCAAACTGTTATTTTGGAGCATTTTTCTGTACTAGAGGTGGTAAATAAATAAAACCATCTTATCCTACTATCATATATAGTAGTAGAGTTATAGAAATCTATCACTGCTTACAAACAATGAAATCATATAAACAAAAGGAAACAAACTAGGTTATGCAACTGTGTTTGTACCCATAGGAAAGATAACAGTGTGCTTATATTCTGGAAATGATTGCTTTCAGGTGAATATATGCAATCCTTGTGAAATGTCCATTATAGAACTATTCTTCTTGTTGAGGGTTATTTCATGAAATGTTTGGGATTAAAAAAAAAAAAAAGGATCAGCTTGATAAGCCAATGTATAATTTATTGCTGAAGAACACCAGAAATCCTGGTGAGACAAATAGCTATTAAGCTATAAAAAGTAGTGAATGACATAGATTTAAGAAAGTGTACACTTAATGCCAAAAGCCACAATGTTAAGTTTAGAACATTTTCCACCAGTATATCCTCAGTGTAAAAAGTTGCTCTTTAATTTGTCACTGAATCTAACATTTATTCCCAGGCTATCTACAGGCTGTGATGTTAATCAGTTTTAATTGAGGAAAGCTTATGGGCATGGCCTATCTGCTCAAATTATAATGAATTCTCAGCTATTTAACTCTGTTAAACCCAGTATTTTCCCCTGTATTTTTGCAAACCTTTCCAATGTGGTTAGATGAATTAAGAAGCTGGATACACAGACTGGGATCCAAGTTTTATGGACCTTTTCTAAATAGCTATAAATATTACCTGAATAATCTGTGGTTGCCTGGAAACTCCTTCACACAGTTCCAGGTAGTGTGAGCTAGATTGTTCTGGTCCTCTAAACAATTGGACTGGGGATGCCTTCTTTGTATACAGCAGTAGGCTCTGCTTTCAGAGTGTTGGTGGTGTTGTGATATACATGGTTTTGTGGGCAAAACTGAGAACTTACTTTTAGTCTAATTAAAGGTTTTATCTATGAAAGCAAAA